TCTCTTAAAGGTCAAGAAATACCTCATTTTTTGCTGTCTTTGTAAAGAACTGGAGGCCCAATACTTGCCACCTGCAAGCTGGGAAGTAGGCTATCAACAGAGGCCTGGCTGGTGGGGAAGCCCTGGCCTCCTGGGGCAGAGACAGAGGGTTTTATTATCCATGCCGCAGCAAGCAGCACGAACCTCATCTGTGGACTGGGCTCCCTGGTCCCCAGGGCCTCACAGGGTGACATGAGGTAGACCCTTAGGAGGATACAGGGCACAGCCTGGACCTGCATCCACTTCTGAGCTTGGGAAACCATAGTCTCTTAAAAGAAAATGAAGCCAAAGGCTGCCTCACAGGGAGACCTCATGTTACACTGCTCAGCAGACCAACTGCTCCATGGAAGGCAGTGAGTGACTCAACGGGGAAGATGGACAGAAGCCGAAGACCCAGAGGAACAATTCTTCAGTCTCTACAGCATCTAGTAGCTAGAAGGAACTCAATCCGTGTTGAAGTGAATTAGTTTTCCTGGAGAATCATCTCAGGAGGGACTGAACTGAAGACATCACTGTAAATGACATGACAATTTCTGGGAATCTCTGTTCTGAATCCCCTTTCTATTGAATTTCTGAGAAAGGTACTTGTTTTAAGAACTCAGATATTTATATGAAGATGATGTAGAGAGATGAAAAGCCCAGGTCAATCAAAGATGGAGATGAATAGGAACAAGGGAATTGATTCAGTCAATGAACTTACAGATTATGGGAGTTTCTTAGTGAGATATTAGCAAGAGTTATGGTAGAGAGTTGATGGTTAACATTTTACAACTGGCTTTACAATATGAAGAAGACAGAGAAGAATGGGGAAGAGGAGAAGGAGGAAGATGAGGAGAAAGAGGGGAAGGAGCAGGCAGAAGGAGATGGAGGAGAAGAAAAAGAGGCTGTGTGGAGATGGGATATGGGCCCTAACGTGTAGCTTTTGGCACAGTTACCCAACCATTGCCATTCACAGTGTCTCAGTGTGAGGCTTCTGGGTGTGGATATGGGGAAATCTTTGTACGCTCTGCTCTCCAAGGTTCTGGGGCTAGCTCCAGGGCATGACTGGTGTTGGTGTGCAAAATCAAAGTAATAGCAGGAAAAGCTTATTCCCCTCAGGCTTGCCCTTGTCCCAGCATTCTTGTTCAATGTGAACAGGGTGACACCCTCATGCTGATGAGCTTTCTCAGAAAACACCATGTTTGGAGTATCTTACCTTAGTTGCTTTTTCTACAGAAAAGGTGAATGAGTTTGCATCATAGCTTCTAGCCTGTGAACAGGACAGGTCAAGATACAACATTAATTTTCACTCCTTGACTGTCACATTGCAGTCCGGCTGTAAGGTAATAGTCAGAAGGCTACTTCCTGTCATTTTATTCACTACTAAGACCCATTTGGTTTATATGGGATTGATCACTGGCTTAAATGCTTGACTTGTACATGGAGACAAAGTGACTAAGTTTTGATTCTAGGAACTGTTGTGTTCTATGACAGCACTTGCTGACTCATACAAGGGTGGTCCTTTTGTTCTCTCATTATCATGCTGGCAGTTTATAAGAAAAAGTTGTGTGTTCTCTTTATCTCATTTCCACACATAGTCTCTGCCCTCCTGTTCTCTAGTATAGCTCCCTTACTCTGTGCTTCCCAACTGCCTAAGCAGCTTTGCCCCACCACACACTTCCACCATGATATTTCTGTCTGGGAGCCAGACAACCATGGACTAAATCTCCTAAAACTGAGCCAAATTAAACCTCTCCTTCCTTAAGTTGTGGATGTCAAGTATTGTGTTTCAGCAACAGGAAAGCTGACTAATACATAAAATTGGTACTAAGAGTGGAGTCATTGCTGTGAAAATGTCACATGGTTCAGAAGCCTTCAAAGTAGTTTGTGGGAACATTTGGAAAGGTTTGGAGATGCTGGGTAGAGAAGCCCTAGAGTGTTATAAGCAGAGAGTGATGGGAGATTTTTGTCAGAGCTCAGAAGACCAGAATACTGATAGGAATGTGGACAGTAAAGGCCAGGCTCAAGAGATGTCAGTTGGAAACAAGAATTCCAATAGCACTTAGACTAGAAGCCATGTGTATTACACTATGGCAAAAAAAAAAAAAAAATCATGTGTTTTGTCCATATCCAGAGACTTTGCAGGAGACTGAGATTAAGGGCAGTAGACTAATTGATGTATTGTGAGAAATTTCAAAGAAACCTAACATTCAGGCTGACATAGGTATTGTTGTCTATTTTCAGCATGTGTAAAGTTGGGTCCAAAGAAAGTGTGATTGCTGAAGAGATTAGCATCACTTTTTAAAAAATGCTTTATATAGGGCTAAGAAGAAAAATGCTTTGAGGGCATCTCTGGAATCAACAAGACTCCATCCACCACAGACTCTCATGTGCAAAAGTGTTACCTTTTCTTTTAAAAAGAGAGTCTCTGGACCTCCTGCTCCAAAAGGTCCCCATAGGGAATTGGTTGCAGCAAATTCATTTCACTGTACTCAGCCATCCAGTCACTCAGAGGCCACTGCAGCTATGATCTAAGGGGCCTGGCTACTGGGTCTGCTGGCAGCAAACCTTAACATCATTCACATGATGCTGGTTTTACTGTCATGGAGCATGCAAGAGTTGTAGTAGAGTCAGGGAGGCTTCCACCAAGATTTTAGAAGAAGGTATACTAGACCAGGCAAGGATCCCCTAAGAGGGCAGTGCATGAAGCTGTGGGAATGAAGCTACAGGTGCAGTGGAGATCCAAGGAAGTAGGAGATACCAGGTAAATGAAATGTCATTCAAGGAAAGCTGCAGGCTATGAATGGAGTTAGTCCAAGGGGAGGCCTTGTGGGCTGCAACTGGCAAGGCCATACAAGTGGAACCACTCAAGCCCTCTGGTACTCAGATTTTACTATCATGTGTCCCAGATGCTGGGCATGGAGCTGCAGGACTTAATGTTTCCCCTACTGGGTTTCAGTTTTGCTTTGGTCCTATTCTTTTGTATCTCTCTATTCCTCCCTTTTGAAATGGAGATGTTTAACCTGTGCTATTGTACCTTGGGATTGGGTAACTTATTTTTTTATTTTTACAGAGGTTCACAACATTTGTCTCCTGTCACAGAACAGACTCTGACTTGGTCTTTTGAAAATTGCCACAACTGTTGAGACTTGGGGGAAGGGATAATTGCATTCTCAGTTGTACTCAGGATAGTTTACTATCTAGGTGGAATTATTAGTTTGTTTTTGTGCTTATTTGGCAATTAAGGGAGGCTTTAAGGAGATGTATTTGGTGTCAAATGGACAAGGGATAGAATGTAGTTGTTAAGCTTGATTGAGTCAACTTGATTAGCTTAGGGACCTCCTCGGGGTTAGTATTGCACATTTTTAGGTATGTGTGGGTCACAGAGGCCTGGCTTTGGGTACTATCTATGGTCCCTGGACCACTCTTCTTGGGCCCTGTTCCCATGCTCTCTGCTTTCTAGCCACAATGAATTAAGCATCTGTGCTGCACCAAATCCTTGAATCCCCTATCATGAACCAAATTAAACCTCCCCTCCTTTAAGTGGTGGATATTGGGTATTGTGTCTCAGCGATGGGAAAACTGACTAAAACAAGTTCCAATATCAAGATGCAGTGAAAGAAGATGGCAAAATGATATATATGACAAGGTGCTGCCTACAGGGCTAGGCAGAGTAAACAGGTTCTTCTCTCGTTCTCCTACTTTAGTGAGCGTAGCCAGGTTCCCCATATCTGCGTAGCTTTCTTCCCTCCTCCTTTGCACCCTAATTAGATCTATATCCACTGGAAATACTGGGTTTAAAAACTGTTTCTAGCATACTAGTTTGACAGTTTATGAGCAGAGTTGATTATATATTAAGCTTAAGATAGGTGGATTCGTCTTTGTGTAAATAGCTATCCTTTTTCGTTGGGTTTGTGTTTAATAAGGCATCGCTCCAGTTCCAGTAACTGTACCTGAAAATGCAAAGCATACGTATTAGAAATAAGTGGTGCTTATTGTCTGTTAGCTCCTCATTGCCCAGAGAGGACAAAATAGCCCTTTTTAAGAACAGTAAGAATGGGTGGAGTGTACAAGGTATGATCAAAATACAGTGGATATTTAAAATTTCTAAATTTCTAAAAATTTATTATAGTAAAGAATACTTGCCATGACTCCTCCTCAAAATACTCTCCCTGACTTTGAAAATAACTTTGAAAATAAAAGTCTCTTTTAAGAGACTTTGATCTCTTTGTTCTTGCCACTTTCTGCAGCAGCTCTGGAGTCCTCTTTCCTGAGGGTCATTAGTTGCCCTATCCTGACTGCCTCAATGTCCTGAATCCATTCAAAACATTCACCTTTCACAGTCATTTCACTCTGGGGCAGAGTCAGAGTCACACAGTGCCAGAGCTGGTGAATAAAGTGGATGAGGATGCAGTATAATGTTTTTATTTGACAAAAAATTACCATAAGCATTTGATCCATGAGGTTTGATAAAAATAATGATTGTTTAAATTTTTTTTTAAATATTGCAGTAAAAGACACATGCCGTCAATCCCATAAAGAACACAGAATACTCTACTTTGCTTCCAACACACTTATCCTATAGTTCTTGGCATTGTGTCCTCTACTGTTGTAAATTTTAAAAAATGTAAATATTCATTGTATTTTCTAATCATTCCTTGTATGTTGGTAGTAGAGGGCTTGCCTGGAATTTGGGGTGTGTGGGTTTGATCCCCAGCACTAGGAGAAGAAAAAGAACAGTAAAAAGTAACATTTGCATTAAAGAAATAGTGAGTATACTGGTTTTCTAGTTTTCAGAGAATCCTACTCTTTAAAACAATAATCTTTGTTCTAAATCCTGACACAGAAAAGAGAGTGGAGCGTGTTGCTTTCTAGGTACTGGGTGTCCATATGTGTGTGTCCATGTTTCAGTAGGATGCGCTTAAACAATTTTCTTATTTATTTACCAAGTAACGTTTAAAATTCTATACTAAAAACTAGAGATGAAGAACAGGTTGGGTCTTGCCCCTATTTCTGAGGAGTTCATGATCTAGGGGAAGTCATCGTGAGCAAACAGCCGGCAAAATGCTTAATGTGTGTCCCAAAAAGACTAAGCTGAGTACAATGAGAACATGGTCCAGTTGGGCCTTGGCTATTAAATAAATGACTTTATTTCCCTGCAGTTGAGTGTTGGTGACTTTGAAAGCCCCTGATCCTCCACAGGGCACTGGGTAATCACTCCCTTGAGTACCTGCCATGATTTTGTAGCAGATGATTATTGTGTGATTGCTGAGCATGTCATGTAGTTGCACTTGAAACTTTCAGAGGTGAGACAGGGCTCTCTGTCCCAAGACATAGGAAGGCCATTGCCATCCAACTGAAGCTGACGTACCCAGGGCAGCAACAGCACAGATGGAGAAATCAGAAAGGGAATCGGGAGTCCGAGGAACTGTGAAAAGTGAAGTTGATGCTCAAGTGTTAACATTCTCTACCTTGGCATGCTTGGACCACTGGAATCCTTATTAGACCCATCCCCAGCTTGGCAGTTTATTAAAACAGTACCCGTGCATATTTGTTTCTAAATTCAAATATTAATTTCACCCTAAGAATTCCATAATTTCCCTTAAAATAATAGCACACCCCTGAGATAGCTGGAGTCTGTTGTTATCTGTGAGCAGGGCTCTGATGCAGGGAGACTCAAGGAGCAGCGTTTTCTTCACTCCTCATCGACTGCTTTGAGTGAGCAGGTTCTGGGAGGCCTTTGGTGGCAACAGCCAGCAAAGCTAAACCTACTGGGTCCAATGTATCTCACGTCTGAACTGAAGCATGGGTTGTTTTGTGTTCTGGTCACAATGGAACTAGAAAACTAGAAATAAAACATTGCAGGGAATACTGTCTAAGAATCAAAGGAACCTGAGCTCTGAAAAATCTTGAGGCCCCCAATAGCTCTAGTCTCTGCCTTCAGGTATTGCTGGTTTCCATTAGTGATAGGAGATGCATTCCTAATAGCTTCAGGGGATTAGCTATGCAGCACACTTCAAAGAATGGTATAATTAAAAGGCATCTCAGGCTTCAGCTTTTAAGAAATGTAGTTCTCTGCTATTGGATATTTGATTGTGTTTAATGACATTTAAGCAGAGCTTATTAAGAAGCTGGTCTTTCATTTATTATGACTGATTATACTTCACAAACTATATATGTAAATTGATGCTGATATTTTCCCAAAAGAGATTACTAAGAGAATTAGCTACAAAAGAAGGGACATTCATAACACGATTTCCTGTTTACTATAAAAGTTCAAAACTTAGCACCCTAAATTGAAACTCTACCCAGCATAAATTTTAATTCATAGGAAATTGTTTTTGAATAATAGTAATAGGTGCCTAATTTTGAGAAAGCTTAGGAGAGGATTTTTTTATTTGCTTTCTGTTCTGTAATATAGGATAATGTCTGAGGTTAATCTAGAACACATATAAATTTACAGGAGGGTTAAAAGGGCTTTGGTATAGAGGATTGCAAGCCTTAGCGAACACTCTGTTGTCTACTTGATAACAATGTGTTAATGCAATGAGCCCTGGAACATACTTACTGTGATCGAGTTGTTACAAGTTAATTATGGTACCTGGCCCTGTCCCCAAACCTAACAATGAGAAAATCTTCAGCAGAGTGTTAAAGATGACATTTAGGTTTTTACTTTCTCAACTCACAATAAAAACGTAGGCCACTAGGTTATTTCTTTTGTATAAAGGATTCTCAATCATTACAGGTATAATTGCCACCCTTTTCCCAGCAGGAATGGTAAATCTTTCATATCCTCCTTATCTCTTTAAAAACTTTAAAATGACATTAACATGTCTAAAATACTGTAGAGATGAATTATAGTGTATCAGCACTTCTGAAACCACATTTCAAAGGGAGAAGTGTTTGAAAAACTAAAATGGTATTACTAAAGTGTTAGCCCCCTGGAGCTCTAAGAGGTCACATGCTATTATGGCTCAGGAGCTGACTCCACATGACCCCTCTCCCCGGAATTTCCTGGACTCTGTGTGTGCAGATGGCGTCACCTGGAGCTTGAGCAGCAGCACGCGGATATCAAAGACAATGGCCAAGAACAAATTAAGGGACAGAAGTCCAGGAATGTATTTCACATAGCCAGTCAAAAGAACCTGAAGTCCAAAAACAAAGCAAAACCAGTCACCACTAATCTTAAAATGATAAACATTGTAAATGATGAAAAAATTTGTAGAGTGAATAATGCTTTTGTAAACATTCAGAAGGAACTTGGAAATTTCTCAAAAAGACTTACTCTTGCACCACTGAAGAAAGAGCTGAATAATCAGCAGCATCATGAAGATGAACCAGTTAATGTTGATGAAGCTGCAAGATTAATGGCTCAATTGTAGTACAATGGAGATGTATCAAATTCCCCAAAAAAACTCAATAAAATAAGCATTTTATACAAAAAAAAGGTCACATGCTAGGAAGAGAGAAGTGGTTTAGGAGACTACAAAGCCTATCTTTGACAAGGGGGCCATTTATTCTTTAAAACATTACAGCCATTTGAATTGGGAATTTTACCACAGTTCATAAAGTGGGAAGGAGAGGTTGAAAAAGAAAGTGGTAAAGCCACCTCCATCAAGGAACTCATTAAGGAGTCCAGGGTTAGTTCAGCAGTCTTGCGGGCCCTCTCCCTCTCTCCTTTCCTTGCCCTCTATCCATCATGAGCAAGTGTCACACCAGTGTCCTTAAAACATCACTGTCACTCAGTTGGTCTCAGGGCTGAATTCCTACAAGATGGACCAGCAAGTTAGTCCAAGATGGGCTGAAACAGATAGAGTGAGATTGGTTGGTAAAGAGTCATTGAAGAGAATTCCAGGCATAATGCCATAAAATCCACTGCTAATCTATACCACAATCCAACACAGAAGATGAGAGAGATGGAGATGGTGAGGAAATTGGCACAGCCTGATTCCTCCTGGCATTAGAAACAGAAAGAGTGAAAGGCAGGGCTGCAGCGGTGGCTGAAGCCCTTAATATTTCTAGTGTGGTGACAATAATATGGGTATCTCGGATACTCTTAAATTCCTTGTAACTCAGTTTCCACATCTCTAGATTACAAGGATGCTGGGCTACATCACTTCTTAGCCTGCCTTATTCTATGACACAGGTTTAGCATTTGAGGCCTCTTTGTGTGAGCAGCAGTAATGCCCAAGACAGAGAAATCAAAAGGAAACATTCAGAAATGTGGAGGAAAAATCATTGGTTCTAATGTATCGGCTTGAAAGCTCTGGTATCCTTGTGGAAGTATTCAAGAACATTTCAAAGCTGTGTGTTGATATTCACTATGTTCCAGGTACTCAGCAGAGCTGCTCTTTGCTTACATATACATATTTACTATGTGAACCAGGGACAGCAAGATAGGAAAAGAAGGCAGGGTGAGAAAAGAAAACATGGTAAAAAGATGGCCAGTGTGACATTCCAGTTCACAATTGCATTACACAGCCCAGGATGAGGGAGAGGAAAGGTCTGAATATGCCATGCCCTGTTTGTTTCATTTTTCTTTTGTTTCTCAAGCATGAACACTCTACTAAGCATCATGTCATATATATTTCCCTACAACTGTGGTCTCCAAACTTGAGCCAGTTCCTTCACCTCATGCTCAACCACAGAAGTAGTGACAACTCCAAGGTGAGAGGAAGCAAGGCCATCAAGTCTCATGGAGTGATGGCAGCTTTGTCTCCAAAGAGCTCCTCAGGGTGATGACAGAGAGCTGCTGCGATTTTCAGGGAAGGGAAGCATCCTACTTTAGTGCCTCAGTGAGGAGAAACCAAGATTTAATGGAGACAGCATGGGGGAGTCTGGAGAGATTCATGATGGGAAGGAGCTTTATTCTATGAAGTGTATTTCTGTTTTAAGACCAAGCTCAGTGTTGTGGCTTGTATCTAGTTGTCCCCCCAAAGCCTCATGAGCTCATAGGTGGGGCCTTGGGAAGTGACTGGATCATAGGTGTGTGATACTGAAATAGTCCACATTGGTTTAGTGGAGTTCTGGGCATGGACGGTGGACTTTCTGGAGAGGGAAGTTCCACCCTGGGTGTGGGTGACACCAACAAGTAGGCTTGTAGTGTGGCTAGATTAAAAAAGGACAGAAAGAATGCTCACTGTTTCTTCCTGCCTCCCCTGCCATGGACTGTTTCTCCTCTGCCAGCCCCTCTGCTATGCTGCCCTGCCTTGGAGTTAGCCAACTATGAACTGAACCTCTGCACACTGTGAGCTGAAAGAAACCTTTCCTCCTTTAACTTGTGGGTATCAGGTATTTTGCCCCAGCAGTGAGAAAGTAACTAAGACACTTAGAAAAACATTGAGAAGATAAAATGTTTTTCAAAAATTCAGAACAACAGAAAAATGAACTTGATTGGGTCATCTGTAAACCTCTTGTCTGATGGAAAGCAAAATCCTCGTGAGGAGGATGGAGGTGAGGAGGAGGCAAAGAATGGGCTCAACCGAGGCAGGGCACCTTTCGGGCTGACCGAGGCTCGGCAGAGGGAAGGAGTGGGCAGCAAGGCTGAGTGACAGAGGAGCTAGCAGAGCTGAGAGCACCGCTGTGGGGCAGCCACAGCACAAGCTCCTGCTCTCTTCTCCTTTCACTCTGGGGATCACGGCCTGTGAGGTCAGTCTGCACAAGGCTCCATTAGTGACTGGCTCCTTGGTCTGGAGGATGAAGCTAATCTGTGGGGCACCCACCTACCTCTGGTCGGCCTCAGTGCTGTGCTTTTAAAAGTCCTGTGTAGGTAGTTGCTACTGATTGTATGGAGCCTACTTACTTCGTTGTCTTGGAAGGAGCGCCCAGCATGATGGGGGCAGCTACTTTTCCATTTTCCATAGCGGTAAGAGACCCTCAGGGATGTAAAGTTATTGCTGGCGTAATGTTTCCTGCCAGAAAGGCTCTCAACTTCTCCCCTTCCTCACTGGCTGACCTCTGTAGGGTGAGGCCCCTGACACTGACTCCAGGTTTCTAGCTTGCTTTTTCCAGTTATTATTTCAGAGACCAAATCCCCAAAGACTCTGGTTTGTTTACTGTCCTGTCTGTGCCAGAGTCACTTCGAGAAAGGAGGGTAAGATGTATTCTCGATTATTTTTAATCATTATGAGAGCTAAGTAGAAGATTGTATTCAAAGTTCTTGCTTTTCTTGTCTTCTCTCTTATCAGTACTTGTGAGCAATGAATAATGTTTACCTTCCCTTTGAGTTTTGAAATCTCTTGTGAGGACATTTCTTGTAAGCAAACACAATGCAGCTCTACAGAGGCTGTGACAGAGGGCTCCAAACAATTGTTCTCAGGCATTTTTGGCCCCTGTTAACCCAAAAAGTAGGAATCCCTCCTGTCAGTAAGGACATCCCCTTCTCACCCAGAGGAGCTGAGAGTACCATAGGACAGACAGAGCTGTCTCCTCCTCCCCACCTCCCGATTCCTCCCCAGGGTTCTGTGGTGTTGCAGTGAGGGGTGGCACAGGGCTGTGCTGGGGCAGGCCTCACTTCTACCACGGGGACGTGGACCAAGGGCAGGGCCAGAGAGGGAACCCAGAAGTAAAAGCAGAAAGGGCTGGTAGCCAGTGAGGCCCAGAGGACCTGCAGGGAGCTGAAGATGCTGGGACATGAAGTGGAAACCGGAAGTCAGGAGACTGGAGAGGCGACCATGCCTCACTGGAAGAGGACGGGCTTTGTCCATGTCCTATGTGTCATCCATGATACTGAATGTGAAGGTGACACATTTAGATTCATGTTGCAGAAAAACCAATGACGGCAATGCAAAGAAAATGAGCTAGCGAAAAGGCTAAGAAATTAAGTAAGATCTGGAGTAGGGCATTCATAGTGTTGGGGGGCAGATGCCAAAAACTCCATGTTTCGACAATTGTGCAGCATCCATTTTTATATATCATTGAAAAATTGAGATGCAGCTGAGTAACCAGTAGTGTCTTGAAAATATTGACAGCCAGGTGACATCTGTTGGCGCTTCACTGTCGACATACCTGCAAACTTAGTTACAGGCGTCCTTGGACAGTGTCACATTTTGATTGTTTTTATTGGTGGCATTGTCAGACAACAGCAATGTCTTAATGTTTCAACTAAAAGAAAATCTAAGGCTGATTTAAGGAAGTACAGACGTCCTGAATGCTCCCTTGGTGCCCTTGATTAGGCCAGAGCCTCCCAGACTCACAACCCGGCATACAGCTGTCTGCTTCTTGGAGTGGAAAGACAGCGAGGGTCACAGTGCTGCCTGACACCTCCTCCACCAGGCTCCCCGTGGCTGAGATCACAGGAGCTTGGAAAAAGTCCCAACACTGACAATTCGGATTTAAGAGTCACTCCAAAAAATTGGACTCCGAATAAGAAGCTTCAGGAATGCCAACTTTGTCCAAATTTTCCTATTCCTATGTAGGCAAAAATAATTAATAACTGATAGAAATTGGTGTCATGAATTAAGTCAGTTTAAGAGCACTCTAAATTCTAATTGCTATGAAGTCATAGTATCATGATTTAATTAGGGTGTTTTTTTTTTTACAATAGTACAATGCTGCATTTTACAGCAGATGGTGTCTTAGCTTTGGTGAAAGGTAGACTAAATCGTTAGGAATCGGTGAGAATTCCATGTGGTGAGTGAATCATCAGTTACACAAGCACAGATATTTATTGAGTCTTGACAATAAGAGAAAAGGGGACGCAAGAAAACACCTTGAATAACTAGTAGTCATCAGGTGAACAGTGGAGTAGGTGGTGGTCAGAAAGTTGTGTTCCATGTGTATGAAATAAATAATGTTAGGCAAAAGAAAAAGAATAGGTTCTTTTATGTTTCACATTAAATAACTAAATAAACACAATAGACTTTTTCTAAAGTCTGACAGAGAATACAGTGACAGTAAGGGACAGGGACTTGGAATGATTCACTATTAATCTTTTACAATGCTTCAATGTTCCATCATGTTACAAAAGATTCAGCATATAGCCTTTGCCAACAGTTGTCCGGGAAACATAGAACCAGAAGCAGTATGCATTAGTGTTTTAAAAACTGTATTATTCTGTTGATTTAAAAACTCTCTTGGACATAGACAGAATCTACGAATTTTCTGATTTCTAGTGCAAATTAGCTAATCTATGAATATTAGCCAATTAGCCATCAACCATCTATTTGTGAAAATATCTTTGTCCTTTATTCAGAAATATCTGATTTTTAAAAATCTGCTTCACAATTTCTTTTTCTAAACCATCTTAGCTTTTGTTTATTAATTTTTAAGTTGACACAGTAAAGTGTACATCTTTATAGTGTACGACATGAAGTTTTGCAACATATACACTTTATGGAATGACAAAATCAAGTTACTAGCATATGCATTCTGTCACATCAGTATCAGGGTTTTTGTGAGAGA